CGAGGTGGATATCCTTTGGCCGCGTTGGGTAGTGAGGATTGGTGTAACCCGAGCCACGGAGGCGTGTCACTCGCACGCCCGACGCCACATGAGTGATGAGAAGAACCCTCTCGCTGGGCGGACTTCGGTCTCTGTGTGTATAATACGTCTGCGAGTTGCTATGAGTCTTTGTGTGTGTAATATGTCTACAAGTTGCTATGACTGCAGTCTTCGACCATCTGAGCACAAAAAACCCTTTGGGCGCCGCAGGAGCACGCGGCAGTCGGCGGCCTGGGCGCATTCGCCGTTGGTGCCTGGCTGGCGCCGGCAGACGGCTACGGGTGCGGGTACGGGGGTGGCGATGGCCAGGACGAGGCGATCGCCATAGCCGCTGAGGTTGGCCTTCGCTGTGAATAGAAAAATCCTCGTGCGAACCCGACCGGGCGTCGGTCGATCCGAGTCGGCGCTGCCACCTCCCACTGTCTTTCACCAGAGCTCCGCTCCACTAATTGTGCTCACCATGCTAGCGCTCTCGCTCGCGCTCTCGTTTGGACTTTGGCCAGCCCACCTCCACACCTGCCCACCTCCCGCGCGGCACGCCAGGACGGCCGTTCGCCTCTGTGGCACGCGTGGCCAGCTCGGCGGGCGCGTGCCGCGACCGCAGCCGGAGCCGCCGCCGCCGCCGCCGCCGCCGCGACAGCTAGCGGGCGACGAGTACGCGGACGCGCTGGCCGACGCACGGCGCGCGGCGGCGCGTCTGCGAGAGGCGGAGGAGCGGCTCGCTCGCGTGCCAGCGCCCGTGCCTCCGATGCCACGCGGCGCCCGCGCCACCGTGTCGCGATCGGACGCCGGCACGCTGCTCGTCGACGTGCCGGCGGCCGGGCTGGTGAACGGCGGCTCGCTGTTCGGCGGCGCCTTCGCTGCCGCGTGGTTCAGCGCCGTCGTCCCCGCGACAGTGAGCATGGTTGCGAGCGGAGGCGCGTCGGCCCTCTTCATGCTCCCGTTCTGGCTTGCCGGCGGCGCAGTGGTCAAGCAGACGGTGCCCGAAGCTAGAAGCAGACGGTGCCCGAACTAGAAAGCGGGGATCCAACCCGCGATCACACGCGGCGTGTCGCCAGCACCGTGCTCGCGCT